TGAAAGGGTGAAAGCCCTGAGCCACTCTCCCGGAAGGGGAAGGCTCTGATAAAGTGACTTGGCTCTATGCTATCGGCCTCACCGGGACAAGGATTCTGGACACTAACCCGAATGCACCGGGGGACACCCCCACAACTGTGGAGACGGCTAGGGTTGTGGACGACTGCAGTTTCCTGAACCCCATGGGTGATAAACCTGTCCACGATTGGTCCTTTCCCAACAATTCGTGCATTACTGGGTCCACAGGCCTCTGGATTGGGAACTTCGCGGGAAACTTCGGGCGGAATGCCCAGGCCTGTACTGCCGGATAAGGTAGCCATGATCCCATATTTCGCTTCCCTGGTCACCACATACATGACCTATAATGGACGGGATCCCAAGAAAGGGTTGAATGCAGTCTCCGTCTGGCGCGGGGACGAAGCCCAGATTTCCATGAAGAGGATCTTTCGCCCATGAACCATTCTTCTTTCCATCCTTCCACTCCCGGTCCTTCTACTCACTGAGATCAGACGGAGGTAGAGGGAGTAGAGCCAGAGGACAGCAGAGCGCCTCCTGCCATTTATCTTTCCTCATGTTGCATGCGGGCAGACTGTTTCACTGCATGGACAGTGACGGGAGGTATCCTCGGATGTGTGGGTACTTCAGTCTGCTCGAGGATAGGTCACGGATTTTCGTTCCTGCTGACTCTACTTCCGCTGGCTTCAACCGCCTTAAGGGTGCTACAATCCCTCAGAGACACTGAGATTCGAGCTCTGTTCGACTAGGGCGCGGTCCAGTGGACTCCGGACACTCAGAACTTCTTCAGCTCGATTTTTCTGGTAAGGAAAAGATCTGGGGATTTCTGCACGGTGTTCCACCTGAGAATCTTAAACGTCATTGTGGTATACCATCATTTTATGATGAAGGACACACATTGACTACGGGACCTCCTCTGGCCGCAGGATTGGTTCGCAAGACTGGATCTGAAGGACGCCTACCTCTCTTTCCCGGTGGACAACGAGTGCTGAAGATTTTGCTGTTTCCTTGGGTTGCCATTTCACCTGTTGTCCTATCGGACTACGTGTGGTGGGTCTCCTCTCTGCATCGAGCCAGGCGACGTACCTGGACCCACTCCAGTACAGGGCCATGCAGCGGCTGAAGGCTTGTTTTGCTATGCAAGAGACCCTCCTACACCCAAGTGGTTCACCTCACTACGGACGTGAAGACCTAACTGCACTGGTGACTGCATCGAGCCGCCTGCGCGACCAGTTCCACGGGGGGTCTGTGGCTGAATATTAAGAATGGTACGAGACAAGGATGTCTGCTAGCTCCAAAGCTTTTCATTATCTCTCTGGAAGCATTTGCTAACATTATACATAACAATAAAAATATTAAGGGGTATTAAAATAGGCACCAAACTAACCATGTATGCAGACAATGTATTGGTGACTCTCAGCTCCCCAGAAACATCATTATCTCATTTGTTTGAAGAGACAAATATATATAGTTCCCTGTCTAATTATAAAGTAAATAAAAACAAATCTGAAATTATGTCAATCGCAATAGAAGAAGAAACTATACATAAAATTCAAAGCCAATATGGGCTGGTGTTGAATAAATCAGGAATTACATATTTGGGGATAATCTTAACAGACAATGTTGAAAACATTTGGAGAATTAATTATCTTGCTTTAATTAATGAATATGAATCGAGTTGAGCGAACCCGAACTGAAAAGTTCGGGTTCATACTAAACATTAGGTTTTTTGGACCCCGAACCCGGACATGGACATATCACTGTATGTTCGGGTTGGAGTTCGGTGCTCGGCAATTTAATGGCGCGCCTTGAAAGGCTGCAGGGCAGCCAATCAACAAGCGTTTGACTCTTGTGCCCTTAGAAGCTGTAACGGACCCCTCAGGCACAAAAGGGTTAAACCGCCGTTTAGTAGATCTTCCCTTCCAGAGACACAGGCACAGCTACTGCAGAACACCAATCCACCGAACAGGAAACCATATGAATGCTGTAAACAGCTGAATAGGAAAAACCATACGAATAGGTTTACACTCCTAGCAGTCGAACTGGAACAGCATACAATAAATCCCCCCAAGAACGAGACAAAGCTCCGTGTTGAGGGTCAAGCAGTGAACAGACAGAGCTGTGGGTTTATTGTGCTTATGTAAACATTCTTAAACATTAGTACCACCCACAGGGTTTTGGAACACAACCAATAAACACATGCAATACACTCAGACACTCCCACACAAATTCCTCCCCTCTGCATGTGATTCAATTACCTTACACAATGGGTACATTTTCAGAATCAGCATACTCCAAATACAAACATACGTCAAAATCATACAAATTGGTCCAATGGTTCAAAAGATAGATCGTAGTCCTTTGTGACCACAGGAAGCATGGCTTTTCTGCCCCAAACCAGTTCCACAGAGTCTTCTATCCTGGAGATAATTAGAAGTAATCCAATTATCTCCAAAGACAGAGGCAAAACTCCATTGAACACATGGCAGCAAAAAGACAGTAAAATACAATAAAATACACAAGGTTACATTTATGACATAAAATACAGACATGCAACATATGCCCAGATAGCTTAGGTCTGAGCGCACATTATTACTGAATGGCGCTCAGAGCACACACATACAGTTCAATTGCCATGGAGCCAAAGTCTTTCCCATAGTCTTTCATTATACGAATGGGCTCCATGGCATAGCTATCTGGGGTATCCCTGCTCAAACAGGGCAAGCACCAAATGACCCGGCTTTCTTGTCTTTGCAGGGGAAAATCAAGCCTTTTAACATGGGGCCATAATCCAAAGGCAACAGGCGAGCAACCAGGCTTCTCCAATGCAATGTGGCGAGATTGCTCTCGTCACAGAAGCCATCACAGCCATGCCTACTAATGGCATTGCTGTAATTGGCCAGTGCAGCATGTGACCCAGCCTCTATATATAAGCTGGAGTCGCGTAGCGCCGCAGCACATGCGGTCTTATTAGTGTAGGGAGAGGATGCTGCCGCTGATAGGGACAGCTTAGGAAAAAATTCTGCAAACTAGTACATTAGTGGGGTGGGGTGCACTTCATATCTGAGAGTCAAATAGAATCGTCAAATACTGCTGTCACATTGCAGTTTTAAAACTTAAAATTTTTGGGTGCTAAAAAGTACATTAGTGGGGTGCACTTCATATCTGAGAGTCAAATAGAAGCGTCAAATACTGCTGTCACATTGCAGTTTTAAAATGTAAAATTTTTTTGGGTCCTAAACTGCTAAATAGTATTTTAGTGGGGTGCACTTCTGAGAGGCAAATCGAAACGTCTAATAGTGTGCTTAAAGCGCACTGGTAAACATTCTTATTTTCTGGGAGCTAATCTGCTAAATAGTACATTTTGGGGCATGTACTTCACATCTGAGAGTCAAATAGAAGCGTCTAATACTGCGGTTACTGCGCAGTGGTAAACATTCTTATTTTCTGGTGTTAATCTGCTAAATAATATATTTTGTGGCCTGCTCTTCATATCTTAGAGTCAAATAGACGCGTCTAATACTGCGGTTACAGCGCAATTGTAAACATTCTAATTGTTTTGGTGCTAAACTGCTAAATAGTACATTTTGGGGCCTGTTCTTCATCTCTGAGAGTCAAATAGAAGCATTTAATAGTGCACTTACTGCGCAGTGGTAAACATTCTAATTGTTTTGCTGCTAATCTGCTGCTTACATTGGAGTTTTAAAAAAAATCTATTTTTTTTGGCGCTAAATAGTATATTTGGGGTGTTCACTTCATATCTGAGAGTCAAATCGAAGGGTTGAGGAGTGGGTAGAAGATGATGTGTGCTAATCTGCTAAATAGTACATTTTGTGGCCTGCTCTTCATATCTGAGAGTCAAATTGAAGCGTCTAATAGTGTGCTTACTGCGCACTTGTAAACATTCTAATTGTTTTGCTGCTAATCTTCTAAATAGTAAATTTTGTGGCCTGCTGTTCATATCTTAGAGTCAAATCGAAGCATCTAATACTGAGAGGTCAGTTTATAGGGAAAACTGTTGCCTGGAGGGAATTCTAAAACAATTTCCATATGTCCTTTGCAGACTTTACATGCTGGAAAAACACAGGTGCCAACTGTTGTGGCTTTCTGCAGTGTGCATACCAGCAAGGAGGGCAGGGTTGAGTGGGTGGAAGATGATGTGGAGGATGATGAGGTCCTAGACCCCACATGGAATCAAGGTCATGCGAGTGATGTGTGCAGTTTGGAGGAAGAGGCGCTGGTCGCACAGAGGAACCAGCACAACATAAGAGGGAGCAGGGTGCAAATGTGGAGTGGCCGTCCCCTAGCGCTCATCAGCATGTATTAGCTTGAGAATTACCAGTTATTCAAGTAATACATGTAGCGATCAAAGGATCCATAATAGACTTGAGCGAACCCGAACTGCAAAGTTCGGGTTCGTACCAGATTTAACAATCCATTTGTAGTTTCACAGTGAGGTGGGCAGTCCAGTGACCAAGACCCAGACACTGTCTGGGCGGCGGTCAGATGACCGGGACCCAGTATGCTTGATGTTGAAGTTAGGAGTCACAGTGTGGAATGGATTAGCAGGGTCTGGTGCTGGGTAACCGCACGCCCCCTGGTGTTGAGCACCAGTATTTGTGCGGCCACATACCAGGACCCTGATGCAGCTTCAGTAAAAAGAGTACTTGATACCAGAAGCCATCACCAGACTGATCCGCAACTTGGAACAGGATGTGACATTCACTGTAGTGGCTTTGCGCGCTTTTGGCATTGTCATCCTGCTGCTGCTCGCCTGTCTGCGCTGCAGCATAACTTCGGCCTTCCCGCTCACCGCCTCATGAGACTTTGCCAGCAACAGCAGGCGATAGTGGAGTTTCAGCTGCAGCACGCATGGGTCAGTGGCTCTGCACCAGACTTCCCTCCAATTGATCAGAGTTAAAGGATTTCAAGTGGACTCATTACAATTACAGGGCCTCTAAAGAGTCATGTATTGTTATTTGTCGTCACTACCTTCCTGCGTCGGGAATGGGTCATTTGCTCGCCTGCTGCCTTCCTTGCATGTGGTAGCCGTTTCTCAGGGTCCCTGTACAGAATGGAACCCTGATTCCCCGTTACCCATGGTCACCATGGTAGGCGCAGAAACTGGCATTGAAAGTTGATATGGATGACATCCACATGCAAAGTCGCCGCCATGGGGACGTGCGATTTGCCCGAGGTTCTCTAGAGTTAACAAAGTTCCTGCGCAACTATAATGTCAACAGTTACTCTGCGGAACAGAGTTGTCTTTTTTTATATGTTCCAATATTTTGGGGGCTACCCCAATTAATATATATATATATAAAAATAGTGTTGGCAACCTCATCCTCCTCCTGCCACCACGGTCACCGCCTCCTCAACCTATGGGTCACTTAGCATAAACTAGGTAAACTAGGTACAGATTAGCAAAGGCTTGTGAAGGCCTTTTCTCCATTCATCAGGAGTTGAGCATTTCTCCATGCATCAGGACTGTAAGAAATGCACCGCAGGCCGTAAATGTTTCTTTATTTGTATGTCCCAATATTTTGTGGGCTACCACAATTAAAAAAACCAAAAAACATAAAATACAGTGATGGCCATCTCATCCTCCTCCTCCACCGCCATGGTCACCGCCTCCTCAACCTATGGGTCACTTAGTATAAACTAGGTACACATTAGTAGAGGTTTGTGAAGGCCTTTTCTCCATGCATCAGGAGTTGAGCATTTCTCCATGCATCAGGACTGCAAGAAATGCACCACAGGCCGCAAATGTTTCTTGATTTGTATATCCCAATATTTTGTGGGCTACCACAATTAAAGAAAACAAAAAAACAAACAAACAAACAAATAAAAAACAGTGTTGGCTACCTTGTCCTCCTCCTCCACCGCTGCTTCCACCTACGTCGCCACGGTCAACGCCTCCTCAACCTATGGGTCACTTAGTATAAACTATGTACACAATAGCAGAGGCTTCTGAAGGCCTTTTCTCCATGCATCAGGAGGTGAGCTCAGTTTGAACAATGAAAGAGAATACCCTGCACTCCAACCCTCTCTCAAATGGATAATTCTGTGGATCCCCCTGACAGCCATGTTTTAGATTTTGATTTATGTTCTTCCAAAGCTAAAATCAAAGATTCCATCTAGTGCTATTTTATGGCTCAGCTGTGATTTCCCTATCCACATTTGTTTGCAGGGCACTTGTCCTACTCTTACTCCCATTTTACTTGCTTTTTTCAGCTCTCAAGCTCTTTCCAGGAGTTTTTTAGAGGCATTTTTGTGGCTAAAAGTTCGGGTCCCCATTGCCTTCAATGGGGTTTGGGTTTGGGGTCAAGTTCGAGGTCAAGTTCGAGCCCGAACCCGGACTTTTTTTCAAAGTTGTGGCCGAACCCGCTGGACCCGAACATCCAGGTGTCCGCTCAACTCTAAACATTGGATAAATATAACACCCTGTAGAGTCCTTTGCTAAATAAGTATTAACACATTTAAGAGGGCAATGAAGAGCAAGTGGAAAAATAGGAAAGGAAAAGAAAGGGGGATAAATAGAGAAAGGAGAAAGTGAAATGGCATAGAAAATGCTAATTACAAAGAGAAAAAGAGTAATTCATATCATAGCTCGTATTCCTCACCGTATGGAGCAAGAGATAGGAAATAGAACAAACAATGAAACGTAGTTAGGGAGTTATTATTATTATTATTATTTTTGTGTGGGTGTGTATAAGTGAGTGATAATTTGCTTTGTTTGTTTGAGGCAGAAATAGAAAATTGAAATAATAAAGTGAAGTAAAAGTAGAAAAGGATATAGATTGATATTAACAAATGATGAACATGGTATAAAAGCAAAATCTAATATTGAAAGATGGAGATACTCATACCTAGCTCTGATGTTAAAAAAAATAAAAACATTAAATCTTCCACAACTCTGTACGGTTGATAAAATGAGCCATAACAACAATCCAGACAAATCTCAAAGCTCTGCCGCTTGGTAACATTACTGCAGACAGAGCTAACTATGAGACAGCAGAATTCAGTATAAATTGCAATAATTATTATTTACAAATAAAAATATATTGTTCTTTTCTACACAATATACAACATATGTAAATACATTTTGACAAACCAATTAAGGTGTACAAGTGGAGATACAAATGCTGCTAAAAAAGGACAGTGATAGGGGATAATTACATGACAAGGAATGAAGGATCCACAGGTGTGTAGAATCTTTGTGCATATTTTATATCAATTATATAAAGTAAATGATACATTTAACATTTGAAAGAGAAATTGGGATTCCAGGGGAGGGGCCGACCAACATGGCTGTGAATATACACAGTCTTGAGTGACAGTCCACAAACCCACAGCCATTCATCACTTATCCATGTAATCGGAAAGAGAAGTACATGCTCGGAACCTGCTTCCATTCAAGTGGCAATTTTAGTGTGGACACCTACAATACCTCAGCTCCCTTGAGTTGAGGCCAAGCCCGCACACCATTGTTGCCTGCCTCTGCATGGGGATTTCTTGCAGGGCTTCCACTTCAAGCCTACTCATCTCTCATCGTTCTTAAGCAAGATTTTGAAAGTCATGGGGACAGCCATGGTGAAAGTCATGGGGACAGCCATAAAATATGTGACTTGTGGATTACCAAGTAAGAGAACACTGATCAACCCTAACTGACAGTAAGCCTTCAGAAAGGCAATCACACATAATCTTTTCTTAATGGCTTCATTACTTATTTTGTTCCCAGACTTGTCTCCGCACTTCTTTCACATTTTACCTGTACAGATGGACTGACATTTGGCCCACCTACAGAACACTAAGCTTACACTTTTCTACTCTCATCTGAGCTTAGTGTATATAGTTTGACATGAGAATATGCTGCAACCCTAGTTATTGCTGCACTGTTTACAATCCAGATTAGGGTCCTTTTGAGTTGAGCACCTCACCCAGCCCCTCTCCCCTCCCCCCAGCTTCAGAGGCCCCTTTGGAGGTGAGCACAGGATAGTGGTGTCACTTTACTTGTAATTTTCATAGAGCAGATATAGGATATGCATTGAGAGTATATACATCAAAGCACTATCACTTTGATTGTTTAGTTTTGACACTACATTTTTGTATTGTGTTTTTTTATCACTTTCATTTTGCATTATATGTTTCACAGTGCTCTTACAGGAGATTAATAAAAACACTTTAGCTTATTTAGCACTAGCACTATATTTGTCTCCCTTGTTGGAATTAGTGTAGGATGCACTGATATTGGGTACTGTAACAACCTCCTACCATGTTGCCTGGGAACCTCTACCTTTTGTTTTCCTGCCATCATCCACATTGCCCTGTACCTAAGAACAAAGACTGTTTCTGGCCCTTTAACTGTTTTGTGCAAAGGACTGGTAGTTTGATATGGCACTTCGGATACTGCCGAAGTGCCGAAGTAGTCGAAGTGTATAGCGGAGCCCTGGTATTTTACAGGTTAACTCCACTCAGATCCCAGTGAGGCTCAGGAACAAGTGATGAAAAATCCCATAAAGTATGGGATTACCAACAAGCAAGGTAATCCAAGAATATCCCCATACAGATCCCAATGACTGGACGACACACAGCATCAGGAGCAGAACTGACGTTTATTCCACACAACCTCCTTTTAAGCATTTCTCCCATGCAAGGGAGGGATTCACATTCATTAAGACAGTACCCAATGGAATAGCAGTTACCTCCCACACATCTCCCCTTAGTATGACACCTAATCCCATTATACAGGTTATAGTTTTCCCCAAGATCTGGATGTACCCCAAGATTAGCAGGTACACCAATACTTTGGGTACCCCCTGATAACCCTGATCTGGGTGACCAACATATCCAAAATTCACCCAGATCAGACCAGGGGTTCGGGAGTTAGGTGGAGGGTGAAATTTGACCGACCGCACACAAGGTGGTATCTGAAAAGGGTTCCATGCGTTTTGGCCCTGCGGTCGGTCTCCATTCGGGAGGTAAAAGACACATAAAAACCTGCCATCCACTAATATAGTTACGTTCGCATGAATTCCCTCATTCGGGGGCTGATTCGTCTTCCCGTTCATGAGTTATGGAGCTCTGGAGGTGTCAGCGGTGTTCGGGTAATCGAGTGTCCGATTTGAGTTCCAGACACCCGGAGACCAAACACCGCTGAGCCTTTCGTGTGTAAGATGGCCGTCGCCACGTGTCCGCATGCCGATTGGTGGCCACCCAAATACATCCATATACCACCTATTAGTTTGCGGTTAGCAAGTACTTTACAGCTTAACGAGGGACACGCTTCACTCTGGGGAGGTCTATTAGTTCGGTAGTTTCCATTCGTATGAAATACAGATGGAAACTACCGAACAATCATACGAATGCTACTTACAATTAAATACAAAGCAGAAACAACACACGAATTGCAGGATTCTCATAGTCTTTAAGGACAGCCACAGTACCATCCGCTACAAAGTGGCTGCCATTAGACAATTGAACACGTGGTGGTGGACATTTTAATTCAGTCGAACGCAGTCAGCGGTGTGTGCCGTCAAATCCCTGAAACGGAAAACGACCACACATTTGAACGAACACTGCTGACCTGTACCTTCCTCTACCCTTCGACACTGCGGCTGGAGACTAAGTCCTGTTCGAAGATTCAAATGCACGTTTGAATGGGACTTTGTCATTGTAACGGATTGACGGCTACCCTGACTGGGTACCTCCGTTGAAGGATGCTCCTATCGCTTCCTGAGGGCTCCAAGCACTCCAGCCGACACCACAACCACCATAGACTTCTTCAGAGAGCAAAAACCGGAACAAGCTCTTACAAGAGCTTAGCAGTGAATATAGCAAGGGAGTATGCAGAGCATAGCAATCCCTTGTAGCAGATTCCCCCCAATAAGAGACAGCACTCCAAATTGAGAGTGAAGTAGAACTGTCTAAAACTTTATTTTACTTGGGACTAGCCAATATGGTCATTACATTAACATTGCTGTGAAAAGTCAATAAAATTACAAACAGTCAAATCATTGCAGGCAACATACAGTGACTTATTATAACATAATTACATATTTATAAATGGGTGGCGAAAACCATAATTAACACAAAATGTCTCTCCTGCATATAGAATTAGCGATATGCAAATCTACCAGAATATGAAAATTACCAGTCTTGCTATTCAGGTAGTGCAAATTACTGTTGCTACCAACAGAGGGCACTACACAAGCTCCATAGCCAAATCCACCTAGTTGGTAGCAATCCTCAGCAGTATAGGAGAGCAGGCAATACATCCCACGGGCCA